CACCCCCACCCACCCGTTCCTTGCTGCTCGCCATTGCCTCGCGGTGCCTGGGACTCTTATTGCTGTCGTTCTCCAGCTGCACCTGCCGCCGTACTCGAAGCGCGAGGTTCTCAACGAAAAGCTCGCGTACGCCATCGAAAACAGCCAGGGCGTCATCGACAGGGACTGACCCTATCCAGCAGCAGCAGCTGCAGCTTGGCCCACAGAAGAGTGCTCCCCCCCCCCCCCCCACCCCCCACCGTTTTTTTTGTGTTTTTTTCCGGGGTTGTCTGTTGTTGGTGTGATCTTGTGGTGGTGGATATCGTTGGAGGTGTGTGCAGACCCCCAAGACTGTCCGATTATGAGCGATAGCTTGACTCCCGCATGGGAGAGAAAGGCGGGGGGGGAGGGAGCACGCGCGTTGCCGCGTTATAGTTCCACCTCGCAGGAAGACATGAGACACGCAAGAATCAACAAACCCATTTTGTTGGCTCTATCCTCCCCCCTTGCGGTGTGTATCTTGCCCACGGGATCTGCTTATCCTTGCGATTTTTTTTGTAGCCCCCTCTCAAAGGTTGTGTTTTTGCTTCCGCCGAGATGGCGTTTTTGATTGGGGGGGAGGAGTGTGTGGTTGTTAAACAGTGAGCCGTGTGTGTGTTAGGTTATCTTTGTTTTTTGTCGCCGCTTCAAATACTGCGGACGCTACGTGAAGGGACGGATTCTTCGGACTTGGCACGGATGATGATGCCGTGGGTAGTATTTTTTTATTGTCTTTTGCGTGTCTTGCACGCTGCTGTGATTTCGTGATACATGGGTCTTCTTTTGTGTGCTGCGTCCAGGAGGCGCGTGAGTCTGTTGTGAGGCGAAAGGGGGTGAGCGATAGAAGAGCTGCTTTACTGCTTCCCCCCCCCCTCTGTCTACCGATTGATGTAGATCATGCCAAGCAGGAGCTCGAGGACGCGGGCGGGCGGGGGGTGGGGGTGGTGAGGTGTCTTAATTAAGTTCCGAAGTCCTCCCGCAGGGTGGCAATGTTGGGTGTATGCACAAAACGCGGCGGGGGGGGGGCGGGGAACGTGTGTGTTGTTTCTGGTTTGAGCACCGTATTTGCTCCTTGCTCCACCCATATGCCATGCGGGATTGGTTAGAGCGGGGACCGGTTCGTGGCCGGGTTGTGCGTAGGTTGTAGTGAATGGTTGTGCTGTGCAGGAGGATAATAATAACATGTGTCGTGCGTCTCGTGTCACTTACAGTACATAGTCTCCATATGCTTACGACGAACGAACGGCGTTCGCTCTACAAATACGTTTGTTTGTTCCAGCAGACCGAACCGAGAGCCTTGGAGCTTTCTGCTCTCGATCAGGAACCGAGCGGGGGGGAACAACAAACAAGGCGGGCTTGGTTGCGCGACCTCATCGTTCGTGCTCTTGTTATGTGGTGTGTAGAGGCGTCCCACGCTCCTAACGCTGACGAGGACGCGGACAGCGACACGCATTTCTGTTTTTTTCCAAGTTTGGGGTCTCTGCCGACAAAAAAAAGTCTTTCTTATCGTCTCCTAAAAACCGAAAATTGCTTAATTACTTAAGATTGTATGGATCAATTAAATTTGCCAGAGCAGTGGCAAGTGTGAGAGGATTCGTAGAAGAACTGTTCTATGTACTCCCCAAACCCAAAAACAATTAATTAAATCAAACACCCCCATATATCATTACTTTGTCTGTCATTTAGTCTGTGTCATTTTTATTCGCATACCCCTCACCTTGACCGATCGGGTCTCAAAAAAGCCGATCTCGGCCCACACTGTGAACCGCGGAGAACTACCACAATCCTTTGTGTAGCTGGGACGATTTCAAGACGTGTCAAATGTTTTTGAGCAATTATCGCTTGCAAGGAGCAGCAGGTTGACTTGTTGTCGAGGGCCCTTCTTTCCTGAAACGTTCATCATCAATCTCCACACCAAGTCATGCAGCGCGCATCATGCAGAGGGTGTTGTGCTTGCCAGGGAATCTCGCAAAAAAAACACATGCAGCTCTGTGTAGCCAACATGATTGGATGAGATTGCACGACCTCTCCAAACGAGCAGCTTCTACACAGCGGCAGTAGCTATTGTACGTGTTTTTGTGTTTCGACAACGTTGAGTGCCTGTGGTGACAGATTGAGTCTTGTCGTCGGAGAGACCTTTTCCCAAGAAACTCAAACTCGACACCCGTCATGCAGCGCGTGTTCTGCTGCTGCTGCTGCTGCTGCTGCTACTACTGCTGCTGCTACACCGGTTGTGTGTTGTGATTGTCTACATGTTGTAGCAGGACAATACGCCGGGCGTGTCGTCCGTGCTTTTTTTCTTCCGATGGTGTCAACGAATCCTCGTCGTTTAGCTATCAATCAATCAATGCTGTGCGCTTGCATCTACTATTATTGTTGAGAGAGAGTTGGACAAAGCCTCTTCTTCACAACCTGTCGCTAGCGTAGACATCAGCTCCTCAAAAGGACACCCCAACGGTTTCGAAGCGACACGCTCAACCGCAGGAGCGCCGATCGTACCACGGACGCGAGCTCTGCGCCGCCTCGGTCGGTGACAGCACCACAACAAGAGTCATCAGGGAAAAATACCCTGTTGGGATCTTCAGAACACACACACAGGTTTCAGGGTGGATCTCACACCACACCCCCCCGAATAAAACAGCCGAAGAAATTGAGTGAGTGCCGGTTTGGGGGTTGGGGGCCGAACACCGAACACCGACCGAATAAAACAGCCGAAGAAATCCGGTTGGGGGCCGAACACCATACCCTCGCCTGTCAAAGGTACATACGCTCCTCACAGGAGACAGACGTAGAACCGCGCCGAGCCCATACCCCGTACCGCTGCTACTACCAGCACAGCAGAGAGTCCCCACCACAGACATACCTTTCCTCGGTTCTGCAGCGTCTCGCTCACCGACAGACACGTCACACCACTTCTTCCTCTGATGATGGCCAGGAAGTAAGAAGAGTAGGAAGAAAATGAAACAACGCATGCACGCGATCGCGATGAATCTCTCCGCACCGAAAATCTCAACACGTCAACCCTCACAACTATGGAAGATGACAATATATAGCGAAGACAATATATTCTCTTCGCTATATATTGTCATCTCCATAGCCTCACAATCGCTGCAAATACCACCACGCCAAAAAAAGCGCATCATCATCAGCGCCAATCGAGCCAATATTCACCTTTCTTTCCAAAGCTCTGATGAAGAGGGGCGGGCTGGCTGCGAATACCACGCAAGCAAGCCGCAGCGCGAGACAAAACCGTCACAACCAACGCATATATATTCACTGCAAAGACTTCAACACATCCCGTTCGACTGTGGTCATATCTCGAATAGGTAGACTATGTAGTCTTCTTCCTGTGTTTGTATTTTATCGGAGGCTGGATGTGGCTCCGAATGAATGCGGGAAATACTTGCCGTGTACCTGCCCTCCTTGAGCAAAACACCTACTACTACGCTACCACATACATTCGACGGTTTTCGGCGACAAACGACTGTATCATCACTACTCTGTGCTGTACGGCTGCTGTGCTGCAGAATCAGACTGCAGAAGGCTGCCGTGCGTGACAACTCTCGTCCATGTTATCTACATAAGACAACCCGAGGATTACAGATACCCCGGGATACATACCCCGAGACATGTAGTAGTTTTAGTCTACATAGACTACCATTTTCCGTGGTTCTGCTGTACTTCCAATGGAGAACGTACACTATTTTTCCCGTTGCGGTCAAAAGAAAGAGCCTATTGTGAGCTGTGTTAGCTTGAGATTGTTGTGCTGTTCTTTCGAGATTCCGACCGATTCGATTCAGCAGGGCCCTCGCTTAGCAATACTGCTGCCAACCCTTTCCTTTTTTCCTGCGTTGCGGGACAACATTTCCCGAGTTCTGTTCTTGTGGCCTTCCCGAAACGTTCCGAGCTGAGAGATCTCGGAAATTGAATGCGGCAGTTTCGCTGCTGAGAGAGGTGAGGCAGCAGTAGTACACACTCGGCCTACGGCTCCTGTCCCCACCCTGTCCCCACACACCCCACACACCAACTCTTCTCTGCCACACCTACACTCTACATTGCCCTCTCGTACTCGTGTTGACGTTCAGTGTACAACTCTCTGCGACGCTTGAGTTTGCCATGAAGATCATTGGAGTTGCTGCGGCGCTGCTATTGGCAAATGGGGTGGGTGCCTGTGTCGAGATCTCCGGCGCGAACTGGTACCAGTGTGGACCTGCATTTCGGGATACTCCGGAATCGTGCTCTCAAGCCATTTTGGGCTTCAGAATCAGTCGGGAGAACAGCGACGTGAGTGGTTGGTCGGGTGTATATATGCACAGCAGCAGCAGCAGTAGCACAGAGATACGGGGAAGTTTGATGTGGTGAGACGTTTGTTCTTGCACGCACTTACGCATAGTATGCTACGTAGTGGACAAAGTTGTACTCGAAACGCATGTATGAATGTATGTCGAGACGTGTGTGGGGGTTCTACAGTGTAGACTAGTACTTTTAGTTGTGCGTTTTTTTGTACGCAACATCCGATACACCCCCCGGCGGGATTATTTCGATTATTTCAGCCATTTCGACTGGCGCTGGCACAACGATTAATTCGAAAACCCTTACTCTTGTCGCTGCCCCCCTCTTGTTGCGTACTGGGGACCTGCGCAGTGCATTGTGTCTAACCCGATCGTGCAGGTCGATTTCGCAGGACCTATGGTGATTGACGGAGTTGTACACAGCGGCACAGAGTGGATCTCGGGGGACGTGTCCGATGATAGCACGAGCGTCGTCTTCGACACTACCAGCAACCTTGATCTAGGTCCAACCTGGGTTCCGATCGGGGAATCGTATCTATGGTATTTCAGGTTCTACGTTGACAACTGTGAAACCGGCTTTACCTACAGCGACAACTTCTTCCAGCTGTCCTATGTCGACGACGAGCAAAACGTCATCGACCTGTCCGGCTTTGACACCCCTGACGACATCTTCGCACCGGCCAACGGAGTATGTCGTGAGTACGGTTTACAGGATGAGGCCAACGCAATGAACGACGTTGTTTGTGGAACAATTTCCTAGTCTTCGGTAGATTCTCGCACCCAATCTACCCGCCACAAGTACAATAGTTCAGCTTCCTTGAAGGACCCCCCGATGACCGCCAACAAAGTATTTAACGCAACCGAGGACCGCCAACAAAGTATTTAACGCAATCGCGAATTGGACGGTAGCCTCCTGCATTATCATCCCTTCCTTGTGGATGCCCTCAGATTGTTGTCATTCTATCTTGTCTTGCCAACACTCCTACCCCAGCCACATCATCTCCGGCCCCACGTCTGCTCCCATACTACATACCAGTCTACTGTAGTGGCCGAGGCTGGGAAAAGATTTTCGCTCTCACACCGAGACTAGGAAAAGATTTTCGCCCTCAGTGGAGTTAAAAGGCTGCCGTGTAGGGAGACGCTCAGACTAGCGTGTGCACCTAACGTCAATCACCGCTCCGGACAACAAGAACACAACGTTCACACGCTTTCGCGCCCTGTTTTGCATTCCTCTTATTTATCCTTACCCTTGCGCCCTGGCCATCCCCGACCCCCCCCCCCCCCCCGAGTCACAAACATACTGAACGAATGCCTGTATGTAATCTCCCGGTCGGTGTGGCCCGACCCTTTCTTACAGCCGACGACGAGATGACCTTCTCCTTCAGCTTCGAGGAGTGGAACGACGACGACGAGTGATTTGTTCGGTAGGTGACGGACAAATTTATAGTCTATATTTATTGGATTGTTTGGCGTTTTCATACTCGGGTGAGAACGAAGCACAACCGAACGCATTATTATTAGTAGTGCTGCATAAATTTTTGCTAACGATCCCTTTTGGAATATCCGCGACTGCGTTGTTGTTTTGCATCCATCCGTGTACCGCGGTCTCTACCGAACATCTGGTCCAGCCAACCCAAAAATATGTTAGATGGTCATGGTCTTCCTCCCCTATTTGCCCCGAACATTATTCATCGCTCCCCCGTGGGTAATTTGTACAGCCCCCCGGCACAACCTCACGCTTCGCCCCACGGGTGGCCAAATGCCTTGCTGAGATTACCACAGCCGGTAGATCATGAAGGACACAATCTATGTGGGTGAAACGTCGAACACATACGCGCGGAGCGTTCGTACGTCTTTTGCGTGTACCCTATTCTGTATGCTACACATCGAAATCAGTTTGATTCAAATTGAAATTCGGACGGGTTAGATTGAGGTCGCCTGGTTTGATATATATGTGCCCTATTATTGCTACCATTTCTCTTGAAACGTAGCACCATCCTTATCCCCGTGAAACGAACTCGGCATGAGGCATCCGTTTGTTTAGTTAGGCCCTACGAAATCCCCCGCTCCAATGCCACAACCGTTTCAAAGCACCATCCATCGGACGCCTCTTATTGCGTATTCGTCTGACATGGAGGCAAACAGGCTGCCTCCCTCATTCATTATCATGTTCTCGCACGCGTTTAAATCAAGCTCCCGCCGCCAACACAACTCCTGATCTACGATATATATCCGCGCAATCATTTGTCGAGTCCCACCAAACGACTGCCGACAAACCCGAGCGAGGAGCAAAAGCCTCCTGCCCACTCGACTTCCAACAACAGCCGACCGTGTTTGTTTGCGATATGATAATGTATGGTTGGAAACGGACACAGAATACCCGCTGTTTCTCTGTTGGCCGACCATCAAGATCGTACAGAAGTACAAGTGTCTGGTAGGGTATCGGCAGTGCCACCTACGGGGGGTGGGGGGCTTCGTGAGGCGTCAGAAGTGGAACAGAACTCACAGGAATGTCCTGTAGGGCGACAACGTTGTACAGAACTCACAGAACGTTTCCGGTAGGTTCATAAATGCTACATAATCGAATCGACGTTTGTTTCTTCTGTAGGGTATATTAGAAGTACCACAGATCCCCTATAACGTTCTGTAGGGTAGATACCCGGGAAAAAATGCTGTCGGTACACTTCTGCGGGTATACCCTACAGAACACACCCTGTTCGTTTATTTGCATGCTCGGCCTTTGTTTGTGCTCTTGACGTCACTTTTTCCCCTGATGCTTTCCTTCCCGCTTCCTTTTTCGTCCCATGTTTCCGGGTCTTTCTTTTTACATATATATTCAGGACCTGGCGAACGACCAGCAACCCTTGGGCTCCGACCACGTACAAGATGATGACCAACAACATGTTGCGTGAGCCATCGCCGCCCGCCGTGTTGGGTCAGTCATACTGGCAACACCGTCATCCTAGCACGGCCGATGTCTTCTTTCTGTCTGTGTGCTCATTTTCGCTATTGAGTCTTTGTTCATTGGTTGCGTCTCAGAGTAAGGTATCCCATGTGGGCGGACGACGACGGAGGAAGTCTGTGTTCTGCCAAGCAACGAAGCGCGTGCGGTTGCTGGTTGGAATGGTCTATTGTTGTAGGCGGTGTGGACGGAAGGTTTATTGTAGCTAAGGTAGATAGCCGGTGTTGACGGGAAAAAAAGACGAAAGTCTGTGTATTGCCAATAAATATATCCAGACGTTGTGGCCGGAGTTCGGCAAGAGCATCATCAGCGGATGGTAGCGACTTGGCTCAACCGACCGTCGCATTGCGGCTACACGTTGGGAACTTGTCGGAGCACACGGCGGTGGAGAGCAGTCCTCACCATTCGTCAAGCACGCACGTTTGCCCCAAGAATTTCAGCCGAGTGCTGCGGGTGTACGTAGGCTCGTATGTAGTCTGTGCACGTCCGAACATCCCTGAGTGCCCCGTCTTTGAAATGTTGAACACGCCAGCAACAGTTGCTGCATGCCAACGCATGTGTGGTAGATTTTTGGAGTGCGCCGTAGACTAGTCACTCGAGATCTGGAGTTTTTTTTGAGAAAGTACCGTTGGGGTATGTAGGTTGTCCCGCTAGCTAGGAGTAGAGTTGTTTTTGCTTCGAAATCCAAACTCCTGGTTGAGAACGACCTAGTCTAGTCTATATCAAGGGTCTTGAACCAAATTTCATGACACGTAGGCCCCAAAATCGAAAATCGAGCAAAAAGGGGCGGGGGGGGCGCGGACATATAAGGGGCTGATCGACGGGTTCAACACCGAGGCGTTTGCCCCTTCTGGGCGTTGTCGAACATGCACGTACATCTGGCACCTCTCAGGCTCGCCCTCAGCAGCCTCCGCTCAGCGAGGAGTCACTTGGGTGATTGTATGCATAGATGTGCGTGGATCGTGTCCATTAAACATTCCCGTCTTGGTCAGAGGTAGAACAAGCCGTGGGGTAAGCAAGGGCTGCCTTCACACCCCTCTTGAACGTTCGTTTTCGTGTGCTGGCCTGACTGGGTGAGCCGGCCCGGCTACATTGTGGAGCATATGGACCAGAACGGGGAACCTCTTCGTTGGGCTTAGCGAATAATTTAAATATGTGCATTGTGCATGTCGGTATTCTGTGCTTACCCTTGTCGCATCGATGCAACCCACATGTTGTGGCAACCCACATGTTGTGGGGAAGGATGCTTTTTTCTGTGGACCAAGAACAAACCGAAATACACTGCATGCTGTAAAAATCAATCTTGACCCCTGCCTTCACTTGCTTGAATTTGCTTGCATCGTTAATTGTCGTCAACCTGGGGGTAGGCAACCTGCAGGACGTGTCCCTGTGTCTCAACATGGACAACAACATGGACTACGTCGATTAGACTACACCCAACCAACACCACATGTGGGGTCCGTCCGTTCGATACTGTTGAAATTGGTTGCAGAGGCCTCCGACACCTTGCGGTGTGCGAAAAGATAAGGCACATGCGTTCGTCGTCAACGCCACCACAACTTGCAAAATCTCGTCAGTTTTTCAAGGGACTCAATCAAAATTTTCCTCTCCTGGACACTCCCGGTGGGGGAGGGGGGAGGGAGCTATGTATCCATAATATTTATAGTGTATCTGATCTAAGCAGACCCTTGGTTCTTGCCATATTTTGCCGAACGTGGTCATCGGGGTATACCACACAAGCCTGTGCCCGAAGGACGCTATGTTTAGTTGTCTGAAACACAGATCTGTGCAATGCCAGATCGGACCTGGAGATTCACGAGAGAGAACGGGATGCCCTGGGTGTCGACTTCGATTTTCCTGCCAGCCGTTGCCCAGCTGAGGATCACTCGCCAGGTCCCGTCGGCTGCCGAGACAACTAGCTGTCCTTGACCACCACCCTCTACGTCAACAAATGCTACGCGCCAAGCCTCGATGTCACGGGTATGGACCATCACCTTTTTTGCCCAAGTTTGCTCCTTCTTGAGGGTGGGATCTCCCCCGAGGGGATGTGAATCAAACCACCTATGCCCCGGTCCCGGCGAGGAAGGGAACGAGATACGAATGAATCCTAAACCCCATGACGAAGACGGCCTGGCGCTTGTAGGTGACCCCTCCAGGCCCGCCACCCGTTGCTCCTGCCCGCGAGAGGTGCGGCCTGGTCTCCCTGCTCCATATAGCACCACCGCTAGCTTGTGGTGGTGGAAGACGTGGAGGCCGTGGCCGTGGAGTGGCCGTGCCATCTTCGTTTTGAGATGAGCCAATACTGTACAGTATAATTTTTCTCGCTTTTCGCCCCAGCGTCGACCACACCCGGGAGATCAACGACAGGAGCAGAGGAGCGTGGGTGTGCCTCAGGCGATATGGCCGGGAGCTCTTCGACAGACCGAAAGCGCCATTCCGACTCAAGATCCGCCTCCTCCAGGCGGAGGCGATGGAGGCACTGCTGTACGGGTGCATGACATGGTCACCACTCAGCGGCCACTACCAGACGCTGCGGTCGATACACCACCGACTGCTCCTTCGAGTTAACGAGTACAAGCGCAAGAAAGACACCTACCGGCAGCTTTCCTACGCCCAGACGCTGAAGAGGGTCGGATGCCAGAGCGTTGAAGCCACGATCCGACAACGACGCCTACTGTTCGCGGGAGCATTGGCAAGGCAGCCGGAAGGGCGACCCCCAAAACGACTGATGCTCGGCGAACTGGCGGGGGGGGAGAAGCGACGTAGGGGGGGACAGGAACAGAACTGGCCGAAGTGTGTGCTCGACGACCTGAAGGCATTCGGGGCCGACCACGGATCTACGAAAACCGATCCAAGTTGTCTCGGGATCCCGGTACCGAAAGACACGGCACCGAAGTTAAAGTGGACGGAAGCCGAGAAGGTGGAGGGGGGAGTACCCTGGCATGCGGCGGTGCTGCAGGGAGCTGAGAGGTTCATGACCTCCAGGCACAAGAAGGAAGAAGAGGCCAGCCGACAACGAGCGCTCAAACGAGACCACAAGCCAACAACCAATGGGGCAGGAGGGGGACAGGAGACGGACGAGACGGCGAGGGAAGTAAGCAAACGAGAAGCGACGGACCGAGTGGCACGATACGTACCGGATTGAATTTCTTTTAGCCAATTCCCCACCCCCAACAAGCCACCGGGGAGGAAATTCACCTTCAAGCTTAAGGGAAAAGCTCGCAGGGGTGCCAAACGCGCACTACCCCCTCTCCCGGCGGTCTTGGCGGAAGCCACAGCGATCGTCGACGCTGAAGAGGAAAAACTCTTCACAGCGGCGGCAGCGGCGGCAGCGGCGGCAGCAGCAGCAGCAGCGGCGGCACCATCAGCAGCGGCACCAGCACCAGTAACGGTTGGTGCCTCTGGGGGTCGGCCGATCGACCTCGATGGTGATCCATCCAACAGCGTGGCCGCCCCCGGAATGAGCGCGCCGGGCAATGACAATGCCGGGGCAGGCACTGGGGGCTTCAAAGTCGGCCGTCGCAAGCTTTCTTCCGCCTCTGCCCCCGCGGCCCGCCCCGTTACCCCTGCCGTGTCCAACAACGTTGGGCGTGTGAAACTAACGTGCTCCAGGCTGCTGCTGGCGAGCGATGGCCATGCCTCTGGTCGCAGGCTGAGGAGAGCCATGCGTAGCAACCCGCGCCTGGCCAACATGTGGTGGGACGGTGGCCTCGTGATGGTATCGGCTATCGTCGAGGATGCGGCGGGAGTCACAGGGCTGCCGGGGGTCACCTTCACCCATAGCCGCTGGAAGCTCACCATCGAGGCGTTGGAGACTAAGATTGACATCACAGCTCCAGCGGATGCGAAGAACCAAGCTGGATTTGTCGCTGGTTGCGGGGGGGATGTTGGGGTGAACCGCATCAAGAGGCTCGGGCACCACCTGCAGAGGCTGAACGACCATATCGATCCGAATGCCAGGGGTAGCTATGATAGTCTTCGGTGGGTCGACAACCTCGAACAGAAGCGCACCGTCCTGCGCCAGACAGATGGCATCCTCGGGGAGGGCGACTTCGTCTTCAACCCTGCCTTGGGGGGTATCTGGATGAGATTCCGCCACTGCCCGTCCACGATGAACGGCTCCGGCGAGTGGAACACGGGATTCGCTACGCCCTCCATCAAGTTGCACGTGCTGATGTTTCGTGAGCGTCTCGCCAACACGGACGGACTGGTGGTTGAACAGAACCACGAGTACGCCGACGCGGCTGCGGCTGCTGCGGCTGGAGCGGCGGCTGAAGAGAGCAAGGAGGAGGAGGAGGAGGACGAGGAGGAGGAGAAGATGAGGAGGGGGTTCAAACTACCTCCGTTTACCAATGACTGGCACACAGTACAAGCGCGCCCTGAACGAGATTATCTACATTGCGTGCGAGGCGGAGGATCTGGTCTATAGGGTGGTGGACCGGGTGGTCTACATCGCGGTAGACAACCGTGAAGGACTACTGTAGGATGTTTCGCCCGCCTTGCCAATGAAGGAACGCAGGAAAGCTTTTCTGGCGAAGGAGGCCGCCGAAGACTTGGTCAGGCGCAGGCACCCTCTATTGTGGAGACATACGTACGTACGTACGTACGTACGTACGGGTGGAAGGAGAGCGGGAGGGGGAGGGACAACGTCGAACGTCGAGTCTGTCCTGCCGAATCGAATGTGCCTGTACAGGGTTGGGAGTTGAATGTTCGTGAGGGCGGTGGTGAGGGTCACCGTTCGAGGCCATCTCGTGGCTGTTGATGGGGATGGTTCTCGCAGCGGAAGGTCGGGAATCCTGAATCACCCAGTAGGATCTTCTGGAATCCCGGTGCGACGAAGGGCTGTCACTGGACACCGACCTCCGGTGGTTCATCCTCCATCTGGTGACAAAGTTATGGTCATGATTGGTTCGGTTGTATCGGCTCTCAGCGGCGTGTTGACTGGGATGCTTTGGAACCCGAATGATACCATAGACAGAGCCAATAGGAGTGGTGGCGGCACCGATCCGGAGAGCAACATGAAGACCAGCGAGCTGATGTCGATCGAAGTGCGCGTGGATACTCTGCGGGACGTGTCGCTGGCTGTCTTCACCAAAATCCCCGTTCAAGCCACCCGCGGAGCAAACTTCTAGTCAGACCGAGACACGAGGAGTCCATAAAGGACTTCGCCGCACAACCTGGGTCGCTGAGCCAGCTGAATCTTCTAGGCGGGCTAGGATGTGTCGCCCACGACGACCTAGAAGTACAGGGGTGCTTGTTCACGGGAGATATTGTGAGAAGGGGCATACCTTAGCACCGTCGGCGGAGCGTATGCGTGGTACCTGGGAAGAGAAGTTTAACGTCGCAAGTTGTTGACATGTGTGCTTACCGATTGGGCCGCCCGGGCAACCTCCTCGAAGCATATCAACTACATATGTACACTGCAAGAATGCAAGCTCTTGCAAAAACATGCTAGCCAGTGATCCACCAACTTCACACACAGCCTGAAAAATCTGAGCGTTCGTGATAAAGGAGCGCCAATGTCATCGATAGCGCGCCCGGAGGAGACATGCCGTACGCGCTGCGTTTCGCTCTGGCGCCATGCAAAACGTTTGTTCACAACATGCCACCAGTGGTTATCGTTGGATGTGGGATCAGGGACGCGGCCAAGTATGGGCGGGTAGGTCTGCACTCGTTGGACACGACGTTCTTCAGCCACGCAAGGTTTGACCCCCGTCTTCTCGAGCACGTACTCGGTGCCGACAGCGGCTACAGTGCAGTGCAGAGGACCCTGAATCACTGCCATTCATTCTTCCAGAACGCGAGGAATCTGGGAAACACGTCGCATCTAAATTTTACCAACGGCGGCGTCGGAGACGGGATAAAACTCCGAAAGCAGAGGGTTCCATTGGTGGAGGACACACCAGAGGAGAGGGAGGAAACCATGGACATGTCTATGGGGGCCATGTCCGCCAACGGGTGCCAGAGCGTGATGGAAGCCATTGAGAAAGTCGACCCTGTTTTCGTCGAATGGGACCTGGACCGTCTCACGGAAGCGAAGAACGCTTCCACGCTTTTCGAATAGGATGACATCGATGGAGAAGAGCACCTGCTCGGCAAAACGCCCGAGGAAGTCGCAGAAGGTGCGAGAAGAGGATGGTGACGCTGTTGGAGGCGCTGGAAGAGGATGACGTCGATTCCAAAGATTTCGGCGTCTTCAGCTTGGCTACGCATTTGGCAAAGCTTCTCAACGGAGCCACCCTGCACCCCTAGGAATTCTTCGGACTGGTTGGCAAGACCACCTGCTTCCAACCGAGCGTCGGAAGAATGATGATCCAGCTCCCGACAATGGGGAAGCATCCGGAGTCCGCCGAAGAATCTTTGTCGACAGTTTGCGTGGAACACGGCATAGAGGGCGCAGAAGTTGTGCGGTGGTTGGCGGTGACGGCACTAGTTGGGTGGCCGTTCCTCAAGAAAGCCAACGGAGGGAGCTAGACACAAGATTCGGGCCGCTGGGAAAAGATGGGAAGGCTCTCAGCCAAGGTGTACTATTCGACACAATACGCGAAGAAACCAGGCTGGCGTTATTCGGGCTGGATAATGTTGACGCCAACGCCCATCGGATCGCCCTGGACACGCTGGCCGTCGAGCACGTCATCGAGCTTAGATGCACCCTGGGCGCCATGTGCCTCGATGAGCTAGCTAACGATCATTGGACCACGAAAACGGTGAGCCATTTTTAGTGAATGGTACCAGTCATTCAACTTTGCGATTTGTGAGCGTGTGGTCGTTCGTTTTGTTTGCTTGAAAATTTGGGAGCTGAAAATGTCAACACCATCACCGATGGCTACAACGCGAGACGCTCCGACCGGTTAGCGTGACAAAGAAGTTCAAGAAGGGGGAAGGGTCTTTCAAGGGGGGCATCAGGAGAATGCTGGACGAGAGACCTCGCCGGCTCAGCGGGGGATCGAACACCCCCTCCGATGCCAGCAGCACGACCGATGAAGACCTTGACGTTCAGTTCATCGGAGTGGAGAAGCAGCTGAAGTTGAAGACGAAGGAACTCGAGGGTGGAGAACGAACTCCGCCTCCGTAAGTCTGGCGCATGGTTCGTGGCAGGCCCTGCCGCTGGCGCCGTACCTGCCACCGGTTCTTCTACTGATGCGGCACCCATGACTGGGACTTGCTGCTTGAACTACAACCGTTGTGTTGGAATACTCAATGTCAGTCATTAGAGTTTGCACTGCTGTAAACAACAGTAATTAGGTATTCACCTAAGGAGTATTACCGGAATAGTCTTCGGTATGTTGATTCAGTAATCGGATCATTGTACACACCTACGGGTTATACATTGAACCATAGAAGTATGGTACATCGGACCATTGTCCTATAGGATATTCTAGAAACGTTGCCATAGGTCGGAGTGACCGTCTATTACCGTGATCGGTACGTTGCAATAGCCCGTGTGTGTTTCCTTTCCGTGATGACGGTGGATGGCTTGCCCCCGTGGTGCTCGCCCCCACTCGTTCAGTCTCTTCTTCTTCTCCTTTCTCTCTTCTGACCTTTCGGCCAACTAAGCGCCAATACAACCATATCATCTGGTCTACAACACAAACAAGTGTACTTTACAGTCACTCTGTGAGCCTCTGCACACTGTTACTACACAGTGGCCACTGCCAGGGATACACCTATCACAAAGGTTACATCCCAACACGTTGCTGCTGGCGCTGCTGTCTCGAGCGTCCCCAAGAGCGCCGCACCGGTGACTGGCTCTGCAGATGGTACTGCACCCGCTTCTGGCGCGGCTGTCTCGAAAAAGCCCAAGCAAGAGGCTGGGGTCCGTACAAGAAGGTGAGCGCGGTTCGTCCTTTATATCATGAGAAGACTTGGGTTTAGATATGGGAATACTCAATGCTTTCGAGGAAAAAAACACTCATGGTGTACAAATCAATTACAGACGCCTCGGATTACCGACGAGGCCGAACGTGAAGGGGTGGAGGCGATGGTGAAGGCGATTGGCGAAGCCTTCCAGCGGGCTAAGGTCAGGACCGAGGTCAGCGGCAAGAGAGACGGTGTTCATCACTACATGGCTTTGCCCAGCAGCCAAGCTTCGAGGTTAGGTACTTGGTAAAGAACGATGCCGAATTCGCCCCAGGAGTATGGTACGCCAATAGCAAGCATTCCACGGCCGAAGGCTCCGTCGTCTTCTACAAACTACATTAGTTGGTTTGGTTCAGGACCAGGCCGAGGATTTCCAGTGGAGTTCGTGTCGCGGCATGTAGGATAAAGCACGCGAGGGAATGATAGTTTTACTGGAAGCGATCAAGAGGTTGTAGGGTCAAGGCATTAGATCATCGCCTCCACGTCGCGGCAGTATAGCTTGTCGGGGGTTTCCTTTTCTTCGGCGGCATCAGCGGAGACAACGCCAAAACGGCAGCGCACCCGCGAAGAAAGCGACAACAACACAAGCCTGAGGCTGGCGTACATAATGCATGCTTTGTTGCACGTGTGAGACGGAAGCAAGTCGAAATGCTGTTAGAGGCCCCGGTGCCTTCCGACGGAGGCTACCGTGCCCACGCACGGTAGTATGAATGTGTCTGGCGACTAGGTTAACCCAGGACCGATGCGGATGACATAAACCTTGATTATCACACACCCACATGCTCCTTCCAGCACATGTAGATATATATGTAGACAGCAGTACCCACATGTGCGTGCTCTCTCTCTCTCTCGAGGGGCCCCGCACTTGAACACCCAATAGCATACCCCCCCCATATATATACTCTACATATCGGATGTTGTATCCAAGTACCCCAAACAGCCCCCCTGCTTGATACAATATACGATCTGGAAGTCCATATGAACAATCTTTCAACCAATACCCAGAAACACAAACGACCACTTGAGAAACATCCTCTACAAAACTGGTTACGCATTAAACACAGTGCGTCTCCATCATTTTATCCACTAACCCAATGTGTTCGCCCCTGAAATAAATCTCAAGCCGTCAACACAAAGAATCACCCTCAGAAAACTACCCAACAAGTATCTGCGCTACATCAGAAAAGGGGCGGAACGGCGTCGGACAAATAAATCTGGAAAAACTGATTCAGAAGAGTTGACACAACATGCTCGAATAAAACGAAGTTTCAACTTCTTGACCAATCAAAACAAGTATTCGGAAAGCATGAAGAGCCCAACCATTACTCGTCAAAACATGTCAAATCCTTCCTCCAACACAGCATCCAAGGACCAAATCCTAAACAGTGCGCACACGCGAATCGGTGCCTCAACTACTGTTGCCCACGAAACCATAGAAACCATAAATATTCATGCAAACAGCCCCTCTGCTGCAGCATCTCCCAAACATACATATAAATCTGTGCCTCCCTTCTCTCACTGGTTTTGGCATAGGACAACCCATACTGTCGCACCTGCGTGTAGTGGGCGCGCGCGCCTTCGTACACTTCAAGCATCATCGGGACAAGCTGCGGGACCGCGGGTGGAAAGGGCGACTGATCGGTTACAGCAAGGACAGCCGGGCCTACCGTACTACAACAGCTGCACGCGCCAGGTGGTGGAAATCCGTAACGTTGCTTTCATCAAAAAACCGGATGCTCGCCTCCTTGCTGCCGCTGCCGACCGTCATGAATCACTCTTCCCTCCACCTATCTGCTTCCCCCTTCCTAACCCTTGTGCTAAGATGTAAGATCCCGAGAGCTCCCGTCAAAGCAATCGGCTACCCGGTTCTTCCTCCCGGGATTCATCCGGGATGCCGTAGTGGACAAGTGGTCTTGAATCACCTCCAGCGCTGTATATCGCCCTCTCAGCTTCTGTCGGTCCCGTCCAGACCGGAGGGCGTAAAACGTGGCCGCACCGCCCCCACCCCTTCCGCCTGCAGTAGAAGGTGAGACCCCGCCCGTTCCCGTAGCCTGTTCTCTCAGGGAATGTCACCATGAATGCGTGCCCCTCTCGGCCGGATTCGGAGAAGGAGGCCGTCCTGAACCCCCACCCCAGCTTCTTTGCTAGCATAGCCCCTAACATGATGGGCCCTCCACCCCGGGCAAGACCGGTCACGACCCCCTTGATATGGCACAGGGCGTCGGGGGCGAAGCATTGGCCGCGTGGGCTCACCTCCGAGTTGCCGTCAGGCACTAAGGCCGCCTGGACCAACATCAGCCCAAGACACCTCACCCCGGCACCATTGTCCCCCTTACAAAGATCCTTGTATTGACCCGTGGTCATCACTGCCCTTGGAGTTTGTCTCCTAGGATAGGGAGAAATTGTCTCAGTAGAGTTCCGACTGATCATTTCCTGCAAGCCATCGTTCGATGGCCGCGCCGCCCACGCCAATTTCAACACCCGGTCTAGGAAGTCTTTAGGCAGTGCATCAAATGCTGTGGTCAGATCATAGACTGCTCTAATGGTCCTGCCCCAGGCGGTATCCGGGCGGTGGAGGCGTAAACAGAGGGAGAACACGCCCCAGTTGGCCTCCCAGTAAGCCAGGATGTCAGTGGACGTCCAGTCCCACGTCCCCCACCCTCGGTCATATGAGGCCGGTTGAGTGCTCTGCCACACCTCCCTGGCGGCGTCGCTATCTTTCCCGACGTCGAAAGTGAGGGCAACCGGTCCGTTCGAAACGTCGCGGTTCACGGACGCCACTTCATAGGCAGAGAGAATGCCGCCGACCGCCCTCGCGGCCTCGGCGGTTGAGCGCCCGAAGTCAGACAGCGCTGAACCAGCTGCCCAGATCCCTCTCGCTACAACACGACCTGCCGTTACGATGTGTTCCGCCACGGGAGTGCTCAAGCCCGCGACGTCGGTCCACTTTTGACCGATCCCCCGCGCCGGAGTCCCCGGGCTAAACACGGTCTCCCGGCTGCCCACAGTCGGCCAGGCGCCTCCCCAGCTCGGAGCGCGTCCCGGCCGCCCAGCAGCCGGCACACCGCCACCCTGGCCCCTGGGTGCTGGGGTATACCCGCCGGTCATTGAGATCCGCGTGTTCCCTCTGCCAGACGCGACCCATCCGACATATCTCTCTCTTCGGACCATCCCCTCCTTCGTTGCCTTGAAGGGGGGGTATGACACCCAACTCCCCCTAATGAGACTCGCCAAATTTCTGAACATGAGGACGGCGGACACTAGGTGCCCAGGTACGGCCCTAGTCCCAGACGTAGCATCTATGGATAGGATTGCCCGAACCTTGAAGAACTTGTACCTGTACACCAGCGCCCCGTTCTGCTCATACAGGTCAGACCCGGTGGCCAGCGACATGACGCTGAGGACATGTCCGAGGGGTATCCTGTCCCAGCTGGCGGGCCACCAGCCCACCGCCCCCGCCAGTCCACCACAAAAGCAGGGTCCTGGACCGCTCACACTATCGCCGATGACGTCCTCGACTATGAAGTTTAACAAGAAGCAGGTATACCCAGTTAGCACCCCTTCGTCAACCCCAGAATACATCCCCGACCTAGAGATGAGAAATTCCTCGGACGCTTCAAACCCTTCTTTTTCACCCTCCGTTAGGCTCTCCAACCTTACGGTGAGGCGGCAGACGTAGGCGAAACACTCGTAAATAGCTCTGGTTCCAGTAGCGAACACCACGGGGAGGAGGTGCCTGAGCACCACAGCAGGGCCCGAACACGCTCTCCATAGTCCCACGACGTACGGCATGCAGAGTGACCTCAGGTCCTCGTTGGTGAACCTGACCGACTCTAGGCACGTAACGATAGCAGCCCGCCCGTCTTCGTCCTCAGCTGAGCGGGTGGTCTCAGCTCTTGAAGCTTCCGAAGACCCCAAGGACCGCTTAAGCCCGGCGACCAGGTTGATGGCTTCCTGGCTATTTGGGTTCAGGAACAACGGATTCTTATCAGCAGCCGTGTAGATGGTGGTGAATGATCCGGCAAAAGAAAGGTTCTTATTAGCTCCCCAACCCTCGAGCCCCGAGATGCGGGGACCGTTGGCAACCTTTTCCTGGCGACTTTCAATGGCGCCGTCCGGGGCTGGGAGCCTTATAGAAGCTGTTTCGTAGCTCTGGAGAGCTCCCCAGGATCGTCCTTCAAGGGCGCTTCTCGCAGCCGCCAGCGCCTCCTCGAACTCGGTCCTGTCGCTGGTGCCACAGTCAGGGCTAGCTGGCTGGGACAACCTCCACATAGCTTGCTGGCAATGTCGTCTCCCCAGGGGTTGACCTGAACCGCTCCCAACAACCAACCGGCGCGTCCAGGGTGAAGTGTGGAAGTGGTTGGGGCTATGGGGTGTGAGTTCTGACGGCCCTTGGCCAAATAAAACTTTAAAACTGTTTAACAAGCGAATTACTTATCGCACTGTACTAAGGACGAAAGCGATCGTATAGCGAGGCTTACGCGTCTTGGTTCTCGTTTTCGCGCCAGGTGGTGGAAACCCGCAACGCTACATTCATGAAACGCCTGATGCTCGCTCCCCTACTGCCACCGCCGACCGTCGCGAATCGCCCATCCCTCCGGATGCTGATTCAACGCGGTAAACTCACTTCGGCGACGACAGCGACAGCGACGATAACGGCGAAGCCGGCGACATCGAGAGTGACGCAGACGTGGACGACGATGGGGAAGCTCCTATAGAACCGGACGGGCATCTGAAGGACAGCTTTAGCCAACGACATCCCTTGACTTGTCGTCAAAGCAACGCAGCTCGCTGCAGCAGCTGTCGTTCACGGTTTCGTCCAACGGCACAGCGCCGCTGGTACCGCCGGCATCGATCCCGACGCCAAACACCTTCAAGAAGGCCATCCAGTCCCCTTTCAGAGCGAAATGGAAGGCCGCCATGGAGAAGGAGATTCAAAGCCTCCGGGAACACCAGGTGGCTGACCTCGTCACGGTCGACACACTTCCGTCGGGAGCGTCTCCGATTGGTTCGCGCTGGGTAAACCTCTCTCGTTGCAGCAAGGTATGCGTGGCCGACCGCTGCTCGACACACCCAACTTTCGGGCTCGACTAGGGCAAGGTTCTCGTGTGCAGCGGTCATAATCCGGATAAGTTAAAGGACGTCATCAACATGAGGCGTCGGTCGGACGCATGCACTGTGTTCCCGGTAATCGAGAGGGGGCAGGGAAGATACAAAGTGGAAGGCGCCCCCCTGCGTGGCAACTGCCTCCACAACGAGCATCCCGAGCTAGCCTAAACGTCCAAGGCAAGGACCGAACACTTTGTATTGGCCGAGCTTCAGGGACGGATGCCCGAACTCGAGGACAATTTTCTCTCGTGGGACTGCCCGTTACCCTGCACAGTTTTACCGAGACAGCCGACATGTTGTGGCAGATTGGATCGACTTTACTCCACGTTGAGGTGGACCAGACCGCAACGCACGAAGACGACCGCAACCGACTCATGCGCCTTAAGGCGGGGACGGATTCGGTTGATTATGTCGCAGTGAGGTTTCACACGCATTCGCATGGTAAATTGTAAGCCGTGTGTTTCCAGAAGACAAATAAAACGAGAGTGGGTGGTCTCATGCCGACAGAAAGAGTTCGATTGTAGGATGGACGTTGTCGTCCCTGAGATAAAAAGCTTGTTGAAAAACGAGTCGGTTGTGAAAGTGATGTTTTTGTATTGAATATCATGACGCGAAAAAGAGGCAACGGTAGCATGACACCAGACAATCAAGAAGGCATCCACTACATGTTTTACGATGTCGTGTCTACGGGAGAGGGCCCCCAATCATGCGCGACCCGGACTTTCCGGATGCAATGAAGGAGTTGGTTTCGTGGTAGACACATGTAGAGATCTCTTGCGGAGACACATAGCGTGGACTTTCCGGATACAATGAAGGAGTTGTCCATAGAGAGACACATATGATGGAGTTTTGTAGAGTGCCGTAGGGCGACACTGGCACCGATTTCTCTCATTTTTCTTAAGCTGATGGGCGGGTGGGACCATCGCACCCACGTGTGCCAACTTTCAGGTCTTGAAAACAATATGGGGCGGAAATCAGCAGTAGAGACTGAAAAGGTGCTGCATCAAACATGAAACTGGCTTTAAAAATCGAAATCGACTCCGATTCAATCCGTTTTTTCAAAAGTTCGGCATGGGCCAGGCACACACACGTTCAAATTTGAGCGACAGCGGACCATTTGGCGATGCTTTTTGGGCGCAAACGTCTACACTTTTGCCCTCATTACTTGTGCACTCATTTACGGCTGCTGCTTGATTTACGCCATAAAAATTATAATCTTCTTTGAATGCTTCGGCACTTGGCGTCATTGTAGAGGTGGTTCATGCGCACACGCCCATGTTTTTATTTCGGTCGGGCGATATTTTGGGACCGAGATACGGGCCTTAACGTGTACTCAGGGAGAACAACCCCCGTGTTTTCGAGTGAATAGCTTGTAGGGTACAGGTCCACACCCTATAGGCCCAACATACGTATTTTGGGCTTTGGGGGTACATCGAAACACACAGAATCAATTTTTGAGGAATGAGGGGAGGTGAAAACGGCCAAAGTCACCCCCGTGCTACCCGAACGCAATTTTTGCCACTTGCACACGCACGAGGGGGGCGAAAACGACAAACGCGACAGGAGCATCAAAAACAAAGCTTCAAGCGCTGGAGGTCACTGAAAGGTGCGTGGGGACAATTATCTGGCCTTCCTGTATTATTTCACGGTGCCCGCTTCGTTTTCTCGCACCCAAACGATTCTTACATGTGTGTGTACGAAGCAGCTGTCACGCCACACGTGACAGTCGATCACAAATCCGCGCAGAAGACACGCGTACACACACCTTCCTTTCGCACACAGTCCTCTGAGTAAAATGGCTACCACCCCCCCTGCTCCAACGCTCGCACTCCTTGTCGCTAGGGCTGTAGTGAGTTTCCAAGGGAGGTTCGTGCCGGCGTTTGCCTCTCCGTTCTATATTGTTGTTACGGTCGGGTTCGACACGGCAGAATTGTTTTAAAACGCGATGCCTCGCCACTACGTGTGCCGATTGACCTCGGAAAAATTGCTATCGATTATCATGAGCCGAGTGCATATTTTGTGTACCCCGCTGACGTGTGTCGTAGCCGCCGGGAAGATCTGTTGCTGTTGGATCTCGGGAGACAACACTGTATACGTAAATGAAAGAATTTCAGCCTCGCCGTCACTCCATCTGGTTCAGTTGGTAACGGCCTACTCAAAGGCATGACACCTGTGCTCAGAAAAAAAGGAGATGCTATTTCCCGGTAATTGTTCAACGGAAAAGAAGAACCATTGCAAGGTCCAGCGAAGGTAACCCAGTGCTTACCCGCCTCCTCTTTTGTGACCGCAACCCCATGGCCTTCCCGACCCCACAACAACAAGGGCACCCGAAAACACAAGTCTTTTGCGTGTACGTGGTGGACAACACCGAGGTCGAACGAGCTTCGTGAATCAAAGGCAACATGCCCAGCTCGCTCTGTGATGGGGTTAAAATAACACCCAGCAAGCTGATCAGTCGATGTTATGCACATTCCGGAGGGCACAAAAACGAACACCTATACAAAATCAACGTTCTGTTGCGTACCGATGGAGAAAGCAAAACACTTGAAAACAAATTTCGACAATTGATTCGAAAGCCCGCTACAAACCCGGCGCCTACCAACGCTTTCTTGTGACCGCGTTTCCGTCAATCCCGAATAAAGCAGTCCAAAGCATGTCATTTGCGCCAAGAAAAAAGGAGATCTAGTTCCCATTAATTGTTCAATGGAAAAGAAGAAACATTGCAAGGGCGAGCGAAGGTAACCCAGTGCTTACCCGCTCTCCCTGTTCGTGACCGCAACCCGGTGGCCTTCCCGACCCCACAACAACAACGGCACCCGAAAACACAAGTCTTTTGGGTGTTTGACTTGGGCGACACCGAGTTCGAATGAGCTTTGTAAGGCAATATGCCCGGCTCGCTCCGTGATGGGGTTAAAATAACACTCAGCAAGCTGGCTGGTCAATGTGTTGTGCACTTTTCGTCAAGGCGAATATTCGTTGTTTCTGGCGTACTTGAAAAGCTAGGTGAGGCCATGTACACGAATGCCATCATGTGACAGACAAGGCATACACTATTGAACGCCACTGAAAACGTTCACACCACTGGCAAGGCAGATCGAAATGATGTGTGGCAGGTGGACTATTTCCTACTTTTGGTCCGCGCCACCGCAAGAAATACACAAAAAATATCGGATAAAATTGCCGTCCGCGTATTCCGACTCCAAAAGGAAGCAGCAAACGTCGGGGACGGCAGAGTCGCGTACAACAAAACCGATAGCAGCTTGTAGAGTCTGACCAAGACCCGTATGTGATGTATGGACCGGATTTCCGAATCGTTTTTTCGAATCAGAACCTGAAATTTCGACACGACATCTGAATGAGTATTGCTAACACCTTTATAACTGCGCCACTTTTTTTCTTGTTTTCCCGTGAGTTAGCCTGATATTAGGGGAATATTTGTTTTGCGACAGGGTGATGGAAAAAAAAAATCAAATGGCGCAGTTTTGCGGGTCTTGTCAAGAGTAATACAAATCACGTCTCAAAATCTCAGACAATAACTCGAAAACCCGATTGGGAAATCGCGATATCCTCACATTTCCTCAGCTATCTTGGATGTTGAATAGGATTGTTTGTGAGGCCATAACTTGTAGTGGAAGATGATCTGAGCCTTGCAACTACCATCATTTTTCTCGCAATGCTCCCAGGCATGTGCACACCAAATTTGAGCTTGATCTGTAGCATTTGTTCTACACTGGTTTCAGTACCGGAAAGGATCTCCCTACGCCGCCAATTGATCATGATGTATACCTAAATTAACTCAGATACAAAAACTTCCGGCACCGGCGCTTTCCCTATTGTCTTATGAGAGCAGCCACCAAATTTCAAGCCAAAACTCGAATAAACGGCAGCGTGAGACGCGATTGAACGAAAGTGAGCTTCGTGGTTAGACCGGCTTGAAGCAGTCGTGGGCCCGGTTTAGCGGTTCCCTGTTTAGCGGGGTGCCCTGAATAGCGGGGATAAATCTCGTGACACGGCAAAACCGCTAAACCGGTCGTGCCCTCAACAGCGGGTATTGGGCATGTTTTCAGCCACCAATAGCGGTTCGGTTCAAATTTTGAGGAGACTAGCGCGCGCTTCGCTTGCACATACTCACAGCACCCAGCGACATTGGTCTGCCGTTAAGCCTGGTCGATGCTCATAATAAAAAGCACACAGCGAGACACACACACACACACCGAACGACGCAGGGCTAGAGAAGAAATGCACAAAAATAGCTGTAGACAACAATGAGAGTGATGGTGGTGAAAGCACGGAGGAAGATGGTGAAAGCACTCCAAAACGAACTCGAGTGCGAGGTAGCAGCCTTGGTAGAGACGTGCAGTTTTCCTCTGTTGTTACCGTTTCTGTGTTTAATCCGGAGAATAGCTTAGCGCTCCCCCATGCCGCCCCCGCACGGGGTCCCAGTTATTGGCATTTAGAAGTGTTTTGCGTTTTCAACCGCACTGAGACTTGCTGAGACTGACGTCTTTGTATTAGTCAGCCGGTTGGCGCGGTCGATGCTAATAATAAAGCACACACACACCATGCGGCGCGTGGATGGAGAACTGTGCAAGCTTCCAGATGCGGCACTGAGTCCAAGCGGCGCGCACGATCGTAAATAAAGGTGGCTGTGGTGGCCGCATACGCGGCATGTGTGGGGAGGTGGAGGATCCGGATGGCAACGAGATGCAACCGGTGTGCAACCAAGAAGGCGTGGAGTTCCCCTCGCGAAATCCGCCCAAGCGCGAAGAGGTGGAAGGTGGCTTTCTTGCACCAGGCGGGCGGAATAAACAACTCGCGCGGCAGCTACACAACAGCCCCACACGCGGCTCCACTTTGGCCAGGAGCTTGAAGTTTTGAAGCTTCTTGACCAGAAGGTAGCGCACTCAGAAAAAGTGCGCAGGACGAGATCGCCAAACTTTGCAAAAGGACGCGAATGCCGAGGTCGTTGACAGTTGTCCAGTATGTACATGGAGGGGCCTAACCCCTCCAACGACGACCTAGACCTAGGGCCAGATAACACGGTACAAGTTGACCGTACGAAGGACAGGGGGGTGATGGTGCCGTCGCCATACTCGGAGTAATCGACGGATTTTGGCCAGCGTGAAGAGCGCGGAGTCGTGTGGAGTGAGCGATGCAGCACACTATCTTTGCAAGGCAAAAATGGCGTTCAACGCAGCGCACGCCGCTCAACCAGCGCGCCAGGCAGATATCAGTGACATTTTGATGGGTCAAGAATGATCGATACGCCACACCTGGCAGAAATGAGATGCTCAAGCACGTGG